GGAAGCAACCGTCGTTTCACCGCGCTCGGAAAATATGTGCTCTTGTACCAAAACCGTCGAAAAAATCTGATGAAGATGAATCGGAATCTGAAGATGAACTTCAGCAACTCTCAACTAGATTGCGCCATGTTGAAGTAAATGATCCTGATGCGAACTTGGATGATAATGATTCTTCGCCTGCACCATCATTACCCTCATCCATGGAAAACTTGTGTTTATTGTCAGACGGAGAAATAGTAGATGTCCATGATGCTGTAACCCAATCTCCTTTGATGCCCTCCCCTCAACCAGTCCAGCTTCTTTCTCAACCTCAACAAGAAGAACGACAAAGCCCCTCTCTTTTGAATAACGTCTGTTTGTCACCGATTTCTGCTCCATTGTCCCCATTGATCCAGTCTAACAGTCGATTACGAAGACCTGCATTAGTAGCAGCAAGGACTCGGAGAATAGCTCGACAGCCAGTTATTCGTCAGAAGCCACTTGATTTTCATTGGTCCAAACACGATTTCCATCATTGTGCCGAGGTTTCAGATAAAGATCATCCCCTACCTGAAGTAGCCAAAAGTCCTCTTCAATATTTTACTGATTTTTTTTCCGATGACATCTATACTATATAAAGCTCGATTCCTACTCACTGACTCACTCACTCACTGATCAGGGGTATTTTTGGGGTATTTAGAGGGGAGAGGGGTAAAATTTTAAGTGTTTATCTCAAACTAGATTTTTCAACACGCAGGTTTTTTAGATTTTTTGAACCAAAAAACAAAATAGCGGCATTTTTTGAGACATCAACTTTTTTGTTTCTGGTCCTGAATTTTTTCTTTTTTGGGTGTTGATTGGGGTTGCCAAAATGTGTTAAAAAAATGGAAAAACAAAATGGCCGCGCCGCCATCTTGGATTGAAAATGCGATTTCGGGGTGTTTTTAGGGAGGTGTCACTCCGAGATGCGCTATTGTTTTTGAAAAATTCTTTTGGGTGTTTGTGACATGTATAGTCTTCTTAAGAGATACATTCACAGATTATCAAAAAACAAGATGGCGGCTGAGCCGTCGGCCATTTTGTTGCGATCAAAAAATTCACAAACTTTGGTTGCAATTTTCTGGCAGATGGCGACACCGGAATGGGGTACAATGTTCCGGGCGATTGTTGGTCTGTTATTCGAGTGTTGCCATGAATCGGAAAAAACTACCATTTTGGAAGAAAATTTTCCACCACGGCCCCGGATAGTAGAAAATGGAAATTTCCAGAAATTCCAAAAACTTGGTATGCAGTCTGGTGACATTTGGGGACCCGAATGACATTTCACCATTTTTATGAAAAAAGTCTGGCAACACTGAAAGTTATGGGGAAAAGTTTTTTTTGCGACATGGGTGACTTTAAAGTTAGTGACGGACAGAAAGAATTATGGCAGAAAAAAAATAAAAATAACGTTTGGTTCGTTATACGACCCAGATTATGGGAAAAATCCGAAATGTCAGAAAATCAAGATGGCGGCGGCGTGGGCGGCCATTTTGTAAAAAGTTGAAAATTTCGAAATTTTGGAATTCATTTTTCGAGTAGTTGGCAACATTTTGGAAAGTCGAGTTGTATGAGGCGGTTGTGTCTCTTGTCGAGAGGTTTCGCTTGGGTGAAGAAATTTCAACGATTATTTTTTTGTTGAATAGGTATTATCAAAAGGGTGGTTTCATGCGAATTTGAAGAAAATATTTCACCCCCAAGGGTGGAAAATTGGGGATGAACTTATTTATACGCAATATCTCCGCCGATTATGAACCAATTTTTTTTGGTCGCAGTGTACTGCCTACCTTCAGTGGTAACATCAAGGTAATAATTAGTTAACTAAAAAGCGCAGGCAAACTTTACATCTATATATATAAAAATGAAACCCGTTTCGCGTTGTCACGGCATCACGTGTGAACGGCTGAACCGATTTCGATAATTCTTTTTTTTAAATGTTTGTGGAAGTCCAAGGATGGTTCTTACGGAAAAAAATATTAAGAAAATCTCTACGCTAAGGCGGTACGAAGTTCGCCGGGTCAGCTAGTGTTTCATAATTTTGGCACCGACTCCAGAAGTATCAATCATGGTATACCTACATAAATATTAATAATTAATTCGTCCTAATAAATAAGTAGGTAATTAGTAATTATTTTTCTACGTTTTAGTGTAGGTTTTTTTGAGTCGGTTTTATTTTTTTTTATAAAATTTTACTTATATTTTTTTAAATAAACAACTTAAAAAAAATCGAACTCAATTTGACCGCAGTTAAAATTGAATAATATAATAAATTGCTCAATACATTTTTTTTGACATTTTTTAATCAGTCTGCCAAATATTCAGAATCTAAAATTCAGAATAAACTTTTTATCTACAAAATGTTTTAAAAATAATAATGGGCGTTTCTTACCATAAAACAGAGACTGAGCAGAATAAACAACCGAATAAAAATCTGTTTGCATGGCCGAACAGATTTGTGTATAAATAATCCGGACCCACATTATTTTTTAAACCCGGCACTGCTTACGTAGCGTCACTAAATAACCCTAAACTACGAGCGATTTTTGTGCAAGGGCTCTCACCCTGGGTCTTTCGGACCCGGGTGTAAGGGACCCGGGTTCCGGTTAACGAAGACATACTGCGGGTATCTATTAGGCCCGGGCTTTGAAGATTTGAGGGTCGACATGTAGAATGTAATAGGGTGAAGGAAGTGTTAAATTGACAGTGCAAGAAAACTGGGCTCTACGTTTACTTTTAAATGTTGGACATTATTTTTTCATTGTTTTTCTTCGGTGCTCGCTCACTCGATTTATTGTTAAAACTTGTTGTACCGGAATATAATCACATGCGTTTGCGGGTTCAAATCCTGCGAGAGGCAAATAAAAAAAAAAACATTTTTATAATCGCATCGAAATCTAACAGTCCCTACTAATCTGAACTAGAGTTCTTTAATTATTCTAAGTAAATAGAGAAAACATAAATTTAAAAATGACTCAGACATATTTAAAAATTTAAATCGGTTGCCCAATATTTTTCTATCTTTCTTAGTATATCAAGCAGCGTTGCCAGTTTTTTTTTTCGCCAAGTCGGGACTTTAGTACTTTTTGAGTGAAAATAGCGGGATTTTTCCGTCAGAAGCAGGACATAGTAAAAAAACGTAGATAATCAAAGGTTTTTCAAATATGTATCTTTTTATTTGACTTAAAATTACGTTTACGTGACAATAGATAGCAAAACTAGCCATAGAAAATGTATTTTAACAAAAAAATAATATTTTAAATCAGATTTACTTTATCGTTAAATTCGTGTTTAGAATAATATGGCGTTTCAAACAAAAGTCTGGTGAAGTGAGTGTCTCTCTCCGAAAAGCGGGACATAGCCTGTCCCGCGCGGGACATTTAAATTTGATTGAAAAATCGGGACGTCCCGCCAAAATCGGGACGTCTGGCAACGCTGATATCAAGGAACAAGTCACCCAATTTTTCTTTCTTTCAATTTCAATACTAAGAATAAGCAATATTCGTAATCTCAAGCCTCTCACCAGCAAGCATTTCTCGTAAACCCAACCCAATGCAAACAGAAGCTGCAAAATGAGTAAAAACCGCTGAACACTCTCAATACAAAAAGTAATGTGTTTTCGCAAGATTCACGGGGCAACGCGGCGGTTCGCGAGTGGGCTTAAAAGACCCGGTAATGAGAACCGGCCGCAGGTTAAGGGTTGAGCACACAGCGTGCTGCTTACCTGGCTGCGAGCTGGCGAAGGTTGAATAGGGGTGGGACGTGGTAGAACTTTAGTATCGATAAACGACTTCTTATGCTCAACAAGTTACACATAAATATAGATAGCAATTTAATCACATTCAAAGTATTTTACTTTCTTATTAAAAAAAACACTGTCAATGGTCGATTATGATGCCCCATCTTTACAGTATGTATTTCAAAATAACATATTTGCTTTACATAATGCAATAACCCGCGCTCACATCGTAAAAAGCACTTACAATTTTGGAAGGCTAGTAGCAAGAATGTTAAGTTTTCAATTAATAGGTCATTTCAAAACTGAAACACACTATTTAGCTATTTTTTATAAGTTTATTAATTGTATCTGTCAAAGTATAGTATAATACGTTATTCTGTTGCAATAGTAAGACAGATCTGCTTTGGCGAAAAAAATATTTTCTGAGAGATAATAAAATACAACTATTTGAGTAGATATTATTCATTAATCATTGCTATAATCTAAACAATCTTGTCTTCCACAAACTTTTCCCAGAATTCTTTAACTCGGGGATTGAGTCAAAAGCAGAAAAGACCCAAACTCATACGGCCGTCCTCTCCCAAATGGCCGACATTACTCGCCCGATCCTTACCTACGACAAATTGGACGCTTACTGCAAGCGGTGAATCATGATCTTGGGAATGTCCCGGTTTTGTTGCAATAAATGTAGACATATAAGGGTAAACACGTTTTGACGCTTTGTCTGAGAAAAAATAACTGCAACGAACTTAAATATATGGAATGGACGTCAACATATTTTTTATCGAAAAAGGAACAAATGGGAAATTGAGTAGACGCAGTGGCAACACCCGTTTCTCTCTCATTTTCACCCTGTAATTCTTGTACAGTCAGGATAATAGTAAAGAACTAAAACAGCCGAAAATTATTGCATAAAAGTGTTTTTGAAGTACAGTTTTGTCCATATTTTCTCGAAGCAGTGGCAGAGCTTAACTGGGACGTGTTAAAACCTTCGTTTTTAAAAGCATTTTTAGCCATTTGATTTTGGCAGAGTAGAATAGGACGTCCCCCAGTCATTCCGCGAATGTCATCCGAGGCGTCTAAAGAAGAAATATTACAGACTTCCCAACCGCTGTAACCAGCATGGAAAGTGTACACACCATTTTCCTGATGTAAATTGTAGTCGTATTCCTGTATGTGGACTAAGTTACCTTATGACGATGAAACGACTTTACGACTCTATTAACATGTTTCTCCTTGTCCCCAGGATCTACAATCGGAGATCGAGACGCACAGAGATGTGTACGCGTCGCTCACGGGCACGGGCCGGCGGCTGCTGGGCTCGCTGTCCTCGCAGGAGGACGCGGTCATGCTGCAGCGCCGCCTGGACGAGATGAACCAGCGCTGGCACCACCTCAAGGCCAAGAGCATGGCCATCAGGTGAGCAGCACCTTTCTTTCTACTGCTGTAGACTTAGGTCCGTGTCAGTAATCTTTAAGAGGACGAGATGTATCAGCGTCGGCACCACCATAAAGCTAAGGGCATATCATCAGGTGTGGCAACTACCTTCTTTATATTAGTGTTAGTAAGAAATAACAAATAAAATACAAATAAATAAAAGTTAGTGATCTAGATCTGTAACTGTGCAAGAATCTACAAAAAGTGGAGTTAAGGAATTCTTGAATAGAGGGAATAGACCTAGGTCTTAATCTTTCGGAGAACATACGAAAGGTGGAGCAAAGGGTTTCTTGAATTGAGGCTCTAAACCTAGAATAGATGACTAGATGATAGCATCTTTTGCCTTTAGTTAGACTTGAAACGACGACTTTACTCTTACTGGGCTATTGCGCCTACAAAATTAATATCCAAAAAAAATTCTAAATACATTTAGATAGTCCCTAAAATCCCAATAAAAATCCCTTAAAATATGCCTCACCCCTTATTTCTCAACCAACTGACTCTACAGAAGCTCTATACAGGGTTAGTTAGAATTCAAATGTCTAATAGGCGGTCATAGACAACAGCCAGCTGACGCGTCTTATCCGTGCGCACGCAGACGTGACGTAACAGATAAACGGACAACTGCACTTGCAGGTGTTGCCAACTTAGTAATTCACCACATTTTCGTGGCAAAACAAGACCTTATTCCAAGAACATAAAGCGGAACAGTGTGTTAACTTGAAATTCGTGTACCGTCTGACCGTGTGTATTCGACAGCACATCTGAATCTGACTGTACATTGTCGCAAAATAACACTTAATTCAAGTGCCATAAGGTGCTAGTGTTAAGCTCAACGTTCTGTTGTATGCAAATTTAGTACATCTTGTGGATTTGTGCTGTCAACTACCGATTCTGCTTTAGTGATTGGGCTGTGTCCTGGAAGACAGAGAATCGGAATTTATGTTGCCTTCTAGAGTTCATTAAGTTTATTTTGGTTTTGTAATCGATGCAAGGAAACAAATTGATGATTTTGTCCATTATAGTCAGTTTGAAACACATGAATGTCTTGGGAATACTATCCCTTAATTCATTAGAATCTCTTCTTCCTCAAAACTGTCTCTACCGGGAATTGAAACCGCGACTGCGTGTGCTCCGGGCGGTTTGCTCATCTGCATGTTATTTACAAAACAATCATCCCAAACCATCACCCGAACGTCAAAAAGTCCCAGCTGTGACATTTTCAAATTACTCCATATTTTGCGAAATTCGTTTCAATTTGAGCGAAGATTTATCCCCCAGTTTATTAAAACCGGTGTCGGCACGTTTGATTTATCGACATTTTAATTTTTGCAAGGTTCATTTATTCTGGTGCCACGTCCCGCTTAAGAGAAATAATAAATTGGGGATTTCGGATTTTGCCTATTTGATTGTTTGGACTCCACAACCCATTCGGTGAAGTGATAAGGAATTGATTTTGACGAAAGTTGACAACCGAATTTCAAATTCATGTCACATGGGTAAGGATTGACAGATTTTGGATCCTACTTAAACTTTTAAACGCTTTAAATTCGAACTCCTCTTACTTAAGTTCTTCTGACGAGTCCAATGACAGTTTTACAAACATGACCTTCACTGGTTGGGATTTAATTGGCGGTCAAGCTGTAGATCCGGGCTACATAGGAATTGCAGCGATGGGAACAAGAGGTGGGAATAGTCCCGTAAACTCTTCAAAAAGTTCATTTTCGTTCCATCAATTTCCCTTGAATTCTATGAGATGACTGATAAAAAGTTACTTACTAAATAAGTAATCACCTCCGTATTCTTAACTATGTTTGTGTACTTTGTTTTTGTCTCTCATAAAAACGACGCCATTACACAAACAATATTCATTAACAAATTACGACCACAATTCTTTTTCATCAACCCACTTTCATAGTGCGAACACATCTGCGCCAATGAAACTTTTCTGGCGTTTTACAAATTTAACACGCGTCCAGTTTCCGAACGTGTACTGAAATGTCACTCGCGAATGACAGATGGCCGTTTGGCGGGAACGCGACTGTCATGGCGGGAATGTGCACTTTACGTTTTGTATTTTATTCAACGTTGACTGTTATTCATTGGGATTCGTTTTTTTGTGTTTCATGCGTGTGCAGAGCGATTCTTTTGATGGATTGGGTGTCGTCTAAATTTAAAAAGTGCCCATGAATCAAACCATATATTTTTATCTTATTATTTTTAAGGGCCTCGTTCACTATCTGAGTAAAGTGTCAAGTAGGCAACTCGTTGCTTATAATCACGTAGAAAACCATGATAATGACAATACTTTGCCGCACTAGTGACAATTTCATAGGTAAAATCTTAATATAAAAAATGAATCGCAAAATGTGTTGGTAAGCGCATAATTCAACAACACCCGGACCAATTCTAAAAATTCTCTTTTTAATGTTTGTTGAAGTCTAAGGATGGTTTTTACGAGGAGATTTGCAAAATTCAACCCCTAAGGGGGTAAAACGGGGTCCACGCGTACGAAGTCGCGGGCGGCCGCTAAGTAGTTCAGAATAAATACTTCTTACTTTTACTTGCAAATAGTTGTTAATCAGGAAGTAATAAATTAGAACTGTACTCGGAGATCATGAAAGAGGCACTTATTATTTTAAGGTTTAATTCGTTTCCACCCCAACTCCAGTGTAGTTAGGATCTACAGCTTGATTGCCAATAAAAACCTTGCATTAAGTTTTAATAAGTCTACAAGCAAATCCATTATGTGAGTAATATTTCCAAGAATTTTTAAAATCCCACGAAATAACCCGTCACGTTTTTAACATTCGAACAATCTGTCCGCACGATAATTCTTCAACTTCCCAAGGCCTGCACGCATCGATTCCACATCCCCACCCTTGTGGGGGGTGTTTTGTTCCGATAAATAACGCGCATAATGGTCCCCCCGTTCCCTGATCGGGAATAAATTAACGCAGATACATCTTTTTAATTCATTATGTAGACGAAATGCAAGATAAACGCTGAAGCTTTCAAAAGCCAGATGGAATTTCGAATTTAAAAGCATTAATACGATATACTCGTCCATTATTTCCTTTTTTATATCATACTGTGATGAGTAAAATTTGTTCTTAGTATTGTGAGTAAATAACAGACAAACATGCAACAATAGGGTGGTAAATAGAAGGTAATATTATGGAGTCTTCAGTTCAATACTCAATAATTTATTACTTTACTACTTCGCATTCACTTTAGGTCTAATAAAAATTATTCACTCGTTGAACACTTGTTTAAGGTGACGTTTAGTGTGGAAATGTCACTTTAAACTACCGTTTAACGAGTGTGTAAGATTTTATTAGTAAGGGGGTTAGAATTAAAGCAGTTTTATACAATGTGGACCCAGTTAGAGCACAACTTTTGGAAGGAGTCAAAACGATCTTACCAGTTTCATTAAATTAAATGTAGGTAACCGATTGAGTTTGGTAGAAATGTCAATTTTCAAGTGTTATCAGTTTCAAGCAACAGAAGTCATCTAAATTCGAAAATGAATAGAAATTTTCAACTCACGTTATTTAAAATACACCGCAAATAACGAGAATTCGGTCATAATCATCTAATTTGAGAACCTGACACTTGTAAAGTATAAAATATGTATCCTACAGGACTTTATCCGCACCCGACAGGATTCGTTAGGACAAATCGCCCCAGGCCCGCAATTAAGCAGGTGAAAATTAGGGTGCGGCCAATTTGAAGGGAAATTATTAGGGAATTTCGCGTCACTCCGCCAAAATGTAGGATGAATTTTAATAAATTAAAGTAGGGAAATTGTAGTCGCCACTCAATCGAGAACTACTTTATCTTCTATAGAAATTCGGGGGATATTCTTTGTGCGAATTCCTTTTATGGAGTAGAAAAGCGTTTGATCTTTTCCTATTTAGGTTATGGAATTGTTTTAGCGATATTAAAAGAACGGTTACGCCTGATGCGAATTCGCCAGCAATTTCTCTTTGTGTCGACATTGCTAATTCGTTTCAGTAGGAGTAATTCGATTGCGCATTTTGTCTGTCAGACTGAAGCGAGCTATATCGGTGTTCAGTTAACCCAATAACTTGTCAGTGTGTCAGTCACAGGTTCTCGTCCCGACATTGATAGTCTGATAGAGCATCCGGCATTGTCTTGCGTTAATTGACTTGATTTTAGATTGCTTAGTCGACTGTTAACGTGTACACGTCTATCCAATCATGATCCAAATTGTGTAGGTGATGATAGTAGGTAAATTAAGTGGGTATACGCCATTGGATATTACAAAACGTTTCCAATATTCTTCTTAGTTAATTTGGCAAATATAAAATACTTAGGCTCGTTTGCCGCCTCTCACATAAAAAAAGGTGCTTATAAAGAATGATAACAGTAAAAATTAAATACAAAAGTACACAATTAATTTAAATTGTATGGGTCCCAAATAATTAAAGCGTTTTATGAGTAGGATATTTAATTACATAGTAAAACAGTGTCTGCAATGAGCATAATAAAATGCACTCGCGGTGTTTATTCGAAAATAAATAGAGTAATAAATATCACTTAGCCATTGAGTTGAAATTGGCATTGGTTGTTTATTGTCCTGAATTAATTTAGGGCGACAGCTGGGATCGTTGGATATCCAGGCCGGTTATTTAAGTTACGGCACAAAATAGGAGAAGTACAAACGACGGGATGTAGGTAAAGCTAAACACTGTGGCATCTTTATGAAGTTCTATCTCGGTGATTAGTAACACATTTTTAACCTTTTTAGGTTGACTCCAACTGTAGCTGCAAGCTAGGACCTCTTTTATTGTGGGTTACCATTTATATTAGAAAAATGCGAAATTATATTTGTCTGTCGTGAACTTTTAATGCTAAAACCAAAGAATAACAATGTGCTGAAACTACTGAATCGATTTACATGAAATTTGGCACGTACAAAATAGTTTGACCCAGGTAAAAACAGGATAGTTTTCATC